AATACAGCCCGTGGGAATACAGCCCGTGGGAATACAGCCCGTGGGAATACAGCCCGTTGGAATACAGCCCGTTGGAATACAGCGGTGAGAGGATAGCCTCGGAACACAACGGTCGAAACCTGCATGTGTGTGCGCCGCGCGCGTTCGAATCCCGGCTTACCCATTCTGAATAAGTGAGTCTGAGTGCTGCGTCTTCGTCTTCCGATAGATCTGCCCAGCTGAGTCTTCGGGGCTTTCCTTCCTCAGCTGCGGTCGTGACTGCCGTGGCGGCGGCGGCCATGGAAGGGGCAGACTGTTTTCTGTAAGCAGCCGCAGCTGCTTTGTCGGATGGCAACATTAGGTCATTCGAAAAAAGCTTTTTAATACGGGCGTCCCGAAGAAGATCTTTTCCTTATTTTCTCCATAATAGGATCATCCTCCAGGCTTAATTTAGCTTCAGCGATTGCCTTATTTATTTTAGACGGATACATCATACCCTTCGCATGATCAAAATCGTACTCCAATACTACTGACCTTTCAACACCATCTTGCTCTGCAAGTTGTTGGTTGATGTATTTAATTCTGTTAAGGTTTGTATCGAGTTCTATTTGTCTGAAGAGCACTTGTTTGACGAAGGTGAGTGCAACACCCGGGCGGCCAGCACGCGCGCATCGTCCAGCGCGATGTACGTACTCCTCGAACTTCAGCGGGACTGTGGTGTTCACTACCCAGTCGACGTGAGGAAGATCCAGTCCACGGGCGCAGAGGTCCGTACACACTAGCACACGTGTGTGGTCGCCCTTAAATGCGTCATAATTCCGATTGCGTTGACGTCGCGGCAGCCGCGAATGCAACAAGGTACATGACACACCCAGACTCGTCAATGTCCGCTGCAATATTTCGCACTCCTCGATCGTGTGCGCAAACACAATTCCACGCTCCGTACAGAACAGATCATTACTTACGTCCGTCAATAAATAATGGAGAAAGTGATATACCGCCACCCCCTCGCATGTAATCTTGCGATGCTTCAAAGCAGTCAGCCCACATGTCAGATCCACCTTCTTATACGTGCCACCCGAATCATCAATACCGGCATCGGCATTAGTACCGGCATAGGCATTAGTACCGGCATCGGCATTAGTACTGGCATCGGCATTAGTACTGGCATCGGCATTAGTATCGGCATCGGCATTAGTACCGGTACCACTACTACCACTACCAGCGGAGAGTAGTTTGTGTATGTCGTCAGCATGGTTTTTAATTGTGGCGCTGAAGCAGAGTATCTGTGTTTTAGGTGATGAGATGGCGGCGGTTATTTTGAGTACGTCTGGCTTGAGTCCTGGTTCGAATAGTTGGTCACATTCGTCTAAGCAGAAGATCCGGACACGTTTTAATCGTCGGCGTAAATCGGGATCTTCAGCAAGTTGCGCGACACGGCCAGGCGTCCCCACTAGTATATGGCAGCTCTCTGCCAGCACGCTTTTTTGACGCTGTAAATCTTCACCACCGATCGCGCACACACATCGTGCGCCGCACCGTTCGCCAAACAAACAAATCCGTTCACATACTTGCGTCGCCAACTCACGAGTCGGTGCCAATACAACCCCAAACCAAGGCGAAGGGTCCAAGGCAAACTTATCCAACAACGGCAAAACATATGCCGCAGTCTTACCTTGTCCCGTAGGGGCACAACCCAACAAATTACCACCTCCCAAAATCCACGGTATACACTTACTCTGAATTTCAAAAGGCTCAGATATCTTCATCGCTACACATACATCCACCAACCACCTGCTCAACCCCATCGAATCCATACTCACTCCTACTCACTCACTCACTCACTCACTCACTCCTACTCGCTCACTCACTCTTACTCACTCCGACTCACTCACTCCTATTCGCTCACTCACTCCTATTCGCTCACTCACTCCTATTCGCTCACTCACTCCTACTCACTCACTCCTATTCGCTCACTCACTCCTATTCGCTCACTCACTCTTACTCACTCCGACTCACTCACTCCTACTCACTCTTACTCACTCACTCCACGGATATTTCTTAATTCCCCTCCGAAAACCGAAAACCATTCTTGTTGAGAAACCATTCCTACATGAAACTGTACAAACGATCTCTGTACAATCAATCTTTGTGTCATCATAATATCTCACTCTGAAGTCAAATAACTTTCTGCCCATCATCTCCTGCCACAGAGGGCCAGCCATCGGCTCTTTAGTACGCTCGTTGGAGATTGGGCTCACACGGGTCCAGGACTTGAATGCCTGTAGATGCGTCTTCCTTTAACAGATTTACGTCAT